CACTGTCTCCCAAAGCATCCCCATAGACAAACCGATGAAGTACAACCTAAATAAAAGGGCAGTGAAATGGATGGAAAACTGGCAGAACAGCTGGCCTGAAGGGGGCTCATCACTAGTGGAGTGCCTTTGGTTGGTACTTTTTAACACCTAACTCAGAGCAAACTGGCAGATGATATAAAGCTGGGGAGGGGGGCTGATCTCCATGTAACAGTGGTTGTGCTGCCATTGAGGACCTCAAGAGGCTGGAGAAATGGGCAGAGAGGGTTGTCAGGAGGTTCAAGAAAGGGAAATGCAAAGCCCTTCAACTGGAATCAAGAAAGTCTGCAAATCTGTTTTGCTGCACAGGAGAATATGGGAATCCAGGTGAAGAAGAAGCTGATCATGGCCAGCAATGCACCCATGTGACAAAGAAGCCCACAGCATGCTGAGCTGCGTTAGAAAAAGTGTCCTCAGCAGGTCAAGAAAGGTGATTTTGCTCCCTGCTATTCTTCTCTTCAGTTCCAGTAAAGAAACACGTTGCCTTCAACAGTGGAGGTAGTATAAGAATGGTGAATTGTAATTGTGGGAATGGAAAAACAAATGATGTATTTTAATTATAAAAAAGGAGAAACCTTCAGCTGTGACAGTCAGCATCAATAATCACTGCAACACAAACAAATACAAACAAACAAAACCATATCCCCCCATGCTTAAGACCATAAAGCTACACCCTTAACCACAAACCACTCTCTGCATGCTTATGTTTAAAAAGGTTTAATTTTTTCACCCTGGTACAAAAATACAGTACAATGTGATGGCAAGGCATTCGCCAAAAACATTCAAAGAATAAAAGGGGAAACCCCATAAAGCTTCAACACAACCCACCCTCACTTGATGGAACAATCAAAAGGTGAGTGCCTAAGGAAAAAGTTACATTTCTGGCCAAAGGCAAATAAAGATGAATCACAGAGTTTTACACAATAATACATTTGCAGAGCTGATAATTCACATGCTATCTGGACATTCATGAAATGTATTCTACTTGGTGTAGTGGCAGAATTCATGGTTTTGGATATCAAGAAAACAACTGGCCCAGGAACATGCCCCAGTGATGGGAATGCCCAGTAAAAACTATGGGATCACATAATATCAGTGAGAAAAGAGAGATTCAACCCTGATTAGTGTCAAAATGATGGCTACTTCTAGTTTTTCCCATCACATTGTCCTCAAATACTGTGTTCCCTACACACCTCCCTTTTAACACCAAATATTAGTGGTTTCTCAAACACACAGAGAGATGTGTTTGCACATTACCCAGTTGTAAAGAACCACCACAGTGCAAACTGCCAGGCAGAGAAAACACTGTAACTGTTGTGTGTGTGTGTGTGTGTGTGTGTGTGTGTGTGTGAACTCCAAACAGGGTTTTTAACCTAACATTGCTGACAGGGGAATTATGTCCCTTCAGTGCATCTACATTCTTGGTCTGTTTAATCATTTCCTCTCAGTTTTGAAGTGATGAAAAGCTATCATTCAGTGTATCCATTATAGTTCATCTCCCAGGTGCTTTTGTTTGAAAGCATCGCCTGTCAGCTTCTCCTGGGCCTCCTTCATCCCTTGGACAACTGAAAGATTACACAGAGAGATACCAACCATTAATCTCAGGGTGAAAACATCAAGGTAAACTGGTAATGGAAGTGATTTAAAACAACACAGTTACAGAATGTAGATCTACAGATTAATCTGTAAGAAAAAAACCAGTCCTGCACCCTTACCCCAACTATGTGTGGCTGGATCATGTAATTTCCATGATTTCCCATGCCAGAACTGGAGACAAAATTAGGTCTTAGAGACTTTTAGTAGGTATTAAGGTGAATCATGATTCTGAATATGGCTACTGAGGCATCAGAGAATCACTCACACTGTATTTAACCACTCCCAGTTATACTTTAACATAATTTCTCTCCATGGCCAAAGCTTCATCTCACTAAAAATGCACTTCAAACAATTCAGCACATACCTTGATCAGCATTGGTATAGAAATACTTGTAGCTGGGGTTTCCTCTCTCATTTATGATTTCTGGATGGACCTTTCCACTGGGGTCTATGAAATAAGAAATCCAACAAGAAATTTAGATGGAAACAGTAAGAACCCAGCGCTGTGAATGGACACAACAGCTGTGGATGCCTTACCCATGAAAAGGATTCTGGGAATATAACCTCCATCAGGACTAAAGGCTTCATCCTTTGGCTCTTCATCATCCTTCCACAGCAAGGCAGGAGAGAGGAAAGATATTAGCAAGACAGCTAACAAAACATGGTGCCTTTTACAGAAACAAGTTACTGCCTTCAGATTCCTTCTACCCCGAGCAATTTACTTGCAAGTTACTAGCATCTCTTCAATTTACATCTTGAAGAGATGCTAAGTAACTGCAGTATCCTCCACTCTCCAAGGGAAGAAAGTTATTTTTACCTACATAAGTATCATTTTGTGAAAACAATATTTTTTCTGGTCAGTCAATCTGCATTACTCACCCCACTCTGGTACAGGAATATTTTATATGTACTGAGAGAATGAACATAAATTCCTTTCTTGTGGAAACTGAATCACACAAGCTACAAACTGTTAAAGAGGAAATGGCAGAGAGCCAGGTTTATAAACACAATTAAAATAACAAGACTGAAAAAAAGTATTTTTAAAACAATGAGCTCTATCAATCAATCCTGAATGCCTATTTTGGAGTGCAGGATTTAGGATGTACACAAAACAGGATGCAACCAGTTGAGTCAGATTCCAAATGCTTCATTACTAGGCAGAACATGGACAGAGAGCAGAAGGCAGCTTACCTCAAGGTTGACCATAACAAAATTATGGGCAAGTTCAGAGATCTCCTTGGATTCAGCAAACTTTGGCTTCAAAGCTAAAGAAATAAATAAAAATAAGAGGCATGTAAAAGCAGTGGAAAATATTTCAGATTTTCAGGTCAATATCAAAATCTCCACTTCGTTCCTCCCTCTGGAGAGGTGGCACTTCTCAATAGGCAGTGAGTAAATGGAATGTATGTGTCCAACCCTTCCAGGCTTGGAACAGGAGGGACCTGGAGCAATTCTTGCCTGGCAGCCATGGGCTGAAGCCTGCCCAACACACAGAGGTGGTTATATTTGATCCAGTGCAACAGAAACAGAAATCCTGATGTAAACCACCACTCCCACTCAACTCCCTCATCCTTTAAGGCTTAGCCATACACCCAGCTTGTTTGTTTGCTATGACACTGCCACATTATACCACTCTCAATGAAATACAAATACTATTAGTTACATTTTGGATGCAAAATTCACATTTCTCATAGCTACATGATGTCTGTACAAAGGTTCATTAGAAACTTCAGCAAGCTCTAGTATTCAATGCACTTACCTTTGCAAGCTCCACACCAGGACTTGTGGATGATAACCATAAGAGGCAAACCACTAACAAAAAGAAGAAAGAAAATTGTCAAAGAAATTCTGTCACATGTACAGTTTAATAGTCAAGTCTTCCTCAAAGGCTAAATGTAATGGGAAATAAGTCAGATATAAAGAGATTTTGGGGTGCTCTAAGATTGTCTTGCAAAAAGTTTTAAATGTGATAAAATTATTATAGCTGCCAGCCAATAACTGCTTGTGTAGAGGAGGAGGAGACTTCTCTTCTAAGTTTAGATTTCTCACATACACAACTGGTCATGCTTTTTTTTCCTGGATTACTGGCAATGGTTAATGACAGCAGCTGCTGAGAGATCTCAGGGTGGATTTTTATGGCTGCTTAAGGCAATCCAGTGGATGACAATCTCTCCCCATTACAGCCCAAGTCTCGCTGAGCAACCAGCAAACCCAATAACCCAGCAAACCCTTGGGCTGCCTGCATGGCTTCCTACACATTTGTATGCTGAAACTAATTGTGATAGATGTGTCCAGTACCAGGGCTAAGGAGAGGGGGTCTGTGAGGAACTGCAGCCTAAATAAAATGCAATGCAGAAGGACCAAAGCTATTTTTGATTGCACTCTTTCCAAATAATTCATTTTGCATTTTCTAGCTACAGTACCCAGAGATTGTTTCCATACAATAACGATATGGCTTCCAGAACAGTAAGAACAGCCTAAAATTAGGTGAAGGAGAGGAAGGAATCTGGAGAGAACATCCTATATGGATACTTCTTTCAGGATATGCCAAGCAAAGCAAACTGTAAACTCTGCACCATATTAGGGGACAAAAATAAAGTCAAATTTTCATACACATGAATTATTAACACCTTTGCACACAACAACATTAATTACTAGCAGAACTATGTATGAGCTTCTCTTTAGGTGTAAATAGACATGAAAGGAAATCTCTACTGAGCAGTGTTCAGTAATGAACTTTAGAATGAGGAAAGGGTGGAAATGAAGCCATTAACATTTAGAAATGTTCAAACACAAATTCACCATCTATAATTAACTGATATGTCATCAACTTTATATCTGCTTGCAGTAAGGAGCAAGAGTACACATTTCCCTAGTAAAGCTTGCATTGCCTCAGTGCCCTCTCCCTGACTTCTTTTCATTGTTTCTATAGAGTCCAAAATGATTTTGCTTATTTCTTGAGGAGAGGCTGATCTAAGACTGGATTTAAGATTGTTCTTATTATCAAGGATCTGTGATTCATGTTGAAAGAGTTCAATGGTCTGGTGGTCAGTACTGGCATACCCTTTTTAAAGAGAAATTTTAAAAGCGGATTTTAAATGAAAGTGCTCGCTTCCTTGAAATACCAACTCTTAGTCAGTAAGAACTCATAGAGGTTTGAGATAATTTATGTGTTTTCTCACCTTTATTCTCTTTACTTTGACTGGTAAAATAAACTTATTTATATAAAAACATTTTTATAGTCATTTCTCAGTTCTGCAGAGCATAAAGCCCCTTAGCAGCTGGTGTGCCAGACAGACACTGTAACTTAAGTAACCCTTCCTGCCCCACTTCACCATTTCATCCCAGGGAGCACTACACATAAAATTAAAACAAAAAGCCACCATTTATTAGAATGAAGAATGAAGCATCCACCAGAAAGTGAGAAGTTTATATAAGCTGTACCCAAAATTATTGGAAACTTAGCTACCCATCACAGCCAATACAGACTCATGAGTTTCACACAGAACAGAAATAAATACATTTATTTCTGTCATTTTATCTCCTTTTTCCTATGACAGCACTCATTCTTAAGCAATTTGTGTTTTTAAGGGTGTAAAGTGATGGTTTTAAGGGTGTATAATGACCTTGAAAACAAAAGACCTGGCCATTTTTTTTCAGTAAAATAGTCCTGCAGGTAAATTAAGACTTTACTCCATTTAAGGCACACATTTTATTATTAGACCTGAAACAGAGAAGTTTGAGTCTGTTAAGCCAGCACCCTTTTGCAGTGTAAAGCTGAAAATCTCGGGTCAGTCAGATTTCTTTGAAACAGTCACATCCTAAAAATACAGCCTGTTCCAGATCTGGACCTGAAGTCTCTTCTGCAGTTCAACCTTATCTGGTGGCAGCTCTAAAAAAACAATCTTCTTATTCCAGCACACACATGCCAATGTGGAAGAAAAGCCTTCCCTACAGTCATCACCTTTTGCACTTTCACATCACACTATTTGATTAGCAGGGTTTCCATCTCCACAGGAGATTTCATCGCTTGGGGACGCACCAGTAGCTCTCCTTTTTGCAAGAGGCCAGTGGGGAGCAGGCAGTGCTGAGGAACTGCTTTCCTGGAGGTCTCCCCAGCGATGCAGCTGGCTCGGCTGCTGCAGGGACACGGTATCCACCTTCCCAGAGCTGCTGCTGCTGCTGCTGCTGCCCAGCGATCCGAGCATCCCCGGGCTCCGCAGGTCTGTGCCTCAAGGCACATTCATCCCGCTGCGAGTACTTGGGAGCCAGACCACCGCCACTGCTGGGTGGCACAGGTGACACTTCACTGGATGCTGCGGCTCAGGTATTGCAGGAACATGCTGGCCAGCTGGGGCAGGTTTTCATCGCTGGGCTGCATCTTGGTGTAGCTGATGAACTGCCTCCGCAGCCGGCTCAGCTCGGCCACGCTGACGGGCCGGCTCAGCACCAGCCCCTCGGCCACGCCGGGGACGCGGATGGTCTCTCCGGGCTGCGCCCCGCTCCTCTGCGCGGCCAGCACGGCGGCCAGCACGTCCTGGGTGACGCGGTCCAGCTGGTGCAGGAAGCCGCAGGACTGCAGCGGCTGCGTGCGGGTGGCGCGGTGCGGCGGCGGCGGGGCGCTCTCGAACAGCGCGGCGCGGATGTCGCCCAGCGGCAGCGGCTCCTCGCCGCGCACCGTGAACAGCGGCCGGTCCCAGCGGCAGCTCGGGTCGGGCTCCTCGAAGGGCGGCTCGTCGGGGCCGCCCGCGCCGCCGGCGCAGTGCAGGAGGCAGCGCGGCGTGCCCGCCTGCCGCGCCGCGCAGTACAGCTCGTAGCGGATGCTCCGCAGCTCGTTGCCCGCGTCCACGATCACCACGTCCCGCCGGCTCAGCCGCCGCTCCACCTCGGCCCGCAGCGCCGCCCGGCCGCCCTCCGCCTCGGCCACGACGTGCGCCGCCCGCTCCGGGCCGCCCAGCGCCTCCCGCAGCTCGGCCGCCCGCCGGCTCTTGCCGCTGCCGGGCCGCCCGCACAGCACCACCAGCGGCATCGCCCCGCCGGCCGCGCCTAACCCGGACGTGGAGCGACTGCTTCCGCCGGGCACACACACCCACAGCTCGCCCGGCCAGCCCCGCGCAGCCCGCGGGCGGAGAGAATCACACCCCGGCACCGCGACACCGCCCGGCGAGGCGTCCCGCTTAAAAACGCCTTCGCAGCAGCTGTTGGAGCGGAGGGACCGCGCCCTCGCCCTTAGGGAACTTAAAGCCGAGAAGTCCCCAGCATCCCATGGCATTGTGGAGTTTACAGAATTGAAATCGAAGGTTTGAAACTTCCTAGACCACCGGCTCTGGTGCATCTCACTTGATGCATCCCAGATAATTTTATGTAATTTTACATCTCCTCATTTATGGTCAGAAAAAAAAAATTGTAATTTTTACGTTTATATTTTCGTTGCAACTAGTAGTTTCTCCCAAGCCTTCAATTCAATAACACTCAAATGCTGCCGTGCTCAAATCAGTGAGCAGATCTGCACATCAGCAATGAAAGGAGAGTGTAGTTCCCACCCATCCCATCCCTTGCTGCAGGGTCTTTTTGAGCACTAATCCTGCCTAAACCTGAGAGCTCAGACCTTGCCATTGCTCCCACCCTCTTCTGTCTCATTTTAAAGCTTCCTCTGCTGCTGCTACAATTATAACTGTAAAAACTGAAATAATCTACTTTTTGTTTTTTCAAAAATTCCGAAGTATCAAGTTATAAAAACTTGTAAGACTTCTGAAGTGTACCATCTGGGTTAATTCAATGTCTGCACTGGAGTGTAGAACTTGCCAGATGGATCTGTTTGAGAGCAGAGCTAAATTAAACAGCAAACCTGAAAGGCATGAGTAATTTCTGCTCATGTCAGCATTGTCAGATCTAGGTTATAAAGTTAAAATGCAAGTAGAATTTATAAGCATGCCATTCTCCTTCTTGGATTTTAACAAGAAGCAGAAGAAACTGAGAAGAGAAAGTCAAGATGTCATTTTTTGTAGAGACATTGTTCTTTTTAGAATTTAAGCTTAGCCCAAACCAGGTTCTGTCAGTTCACTAGAGTTTGAAACTTCCAGATTTTTGCTGCAGATGGAAACAAAATACCTCATGCTGAGGCTTCATCTATACAGGCACAAGGAATTTTAGGGAACTCTTAGCACTGCTGAGTTTAAGGGCATTGAGCACTACTTAGACTTGTATTTGTGTGCTTGAGAACCATTTCTTTCTTTACTGTGATAAATAATTATTTTAGTGTTTCAAGGACATGCTAGGGCTTCAATCACTTAATCAGACTGCAGTGATTAAACCTAGGTGGTGCCTTAGCAAAGTTAACAAAGCTCTGTATTTTCTCTCCAATAACCTGTAGGGATCTGAAGAGTCTCCTAAACCACCTTCCTTTTTGTTAATAGAGACTCTTCTCTATGGTTAAATTTAGGGCTGAAATAGAACCATTGTGAATGCTTCTGAAAACAAATTTCTGTACTTAACACTAACAAACATACCTGGCTGCTGCCTCTTTCTTCCCATCTTCCAGTGTTCTCCAATGAATATGATCTCCAAAACCTGCCAGAGAGAAGGGTTTATAAATGCTGCATAATTTAACATGTCAGCTAACAGGAAAACAGCCCAACCCCTGAGAGTACTTTCAACTCATTTTATATTATTTTTTTAAAGACAACTATAGCCCCACTTCTGGAAAGACAGCCCACACAGTCGTATGAGGAATCCCACTGAAATTAATTAACAAAAACATACTATACTCATGAATATTTCTATATATGTATGTAAATGACACTAAAATCCCCCAAATAGATATTAAAATTGAAGCGCCTTCTGATTATTCTCTGTTCTTTTTCAGTTTGTGAACATTTATTATCTGATGAATGACAAATTAAACATGTCAGCATTCAGCTTCCTAAATCCCACTGAAGGTGAACTAAACTGAAACTTAAAAATTTTGAGGCCAACATATGATCATTAATTGCTCTAAAGCTATTATGCCAAGTATTCCTGCTGATGATAATATCATGGAAGAGCAAGAAAGAACACCACCATTACACAGATTTCGGAGTGTTACAGTGACTGAACGATGCAGGAAATATTTTATCTGGCATCCAGATAACAAGTCTTGTTATGTCAATTGACTTAAGAGTGAGTCAGTGTATGTTTAACAGTTGCAAAGCCAGGGTTGGGTTTTTTTAGTAGCCAACACAGCACATGGCCAAAAGCCACCTGGAGAGCTCAGCTGAAGCAGATCCAGGAGCTGTACAAAGAGGAACTCTTCTTGGAACACCTCCTCAGAGGTCTTGGTTCCAGTAATTAACAATTACTGTGCTGGACGGCCAAACATGAGCCTCGGTTTGCCCCCTCCCATCCCTAAGGGTTCAGATTAGTTCAGATTAGTCAGGAACCCGCCATGCCCGAGGTGCTGAGGGGAGCAGATTTTGGGAGCTACACAGAGATCAGGAGCCACAGACTGCCCAGTGAAGATACAGGGGAAGGTGGACACCGTCTCCAGCAGACAACTGTGGCAAAGAAGCTGGAGAAAGCCTAAAACAAGGCGAGTCTTTGGGACACCTCCGTTCAGCATCCGGGAGGTGAGGACAGTGGCACAGTGTTTGTGTTACCTGATCTCTGCTGATATGAGCAAATATCAGCATAAGTGATGCAACACATCAAACAGATGAGCTCACAGCAGGGTGGGGACGCCTCATCCCTGTCCCCTCACAGCCACACAGCAAGTGCTGAGGCAGCCCCCGACACAGGACCACGTTTGTACGAGCTCAACATCCCAGAGCAAAACCCAGCTGGATTAGCACAAGTCACGTTTACCCAGAATATTGACACCTCAGCTATTTCAGTCAAACGCAAAATGTTAAAACAGGGAAAACCTTCTATTGTTCTAGCTGGGAAACAGTTTTCAAAAGCTTTTCTATATTTAAAACAAACCCCACTTTGTGGTGAGCTTCAGTGTGTTTTTGAAAGCATTGCCCAACACATTACAGAGTGTATCTTTTGAATGAAAGTCATCTGGGGAATTAAAGGGTGAATGGCTGGCTGGGGTCCACACCACAGCTTTGCTGTCATTGATCAAATTGGTTTCAACCAGCCTTGAGGAGGAGATTTACCCTCTACGGCAAAGCCACCACCTGGGCTGAAGCCCGGCCCCGGCTGAACCGGGCTATTAGACACGGTAATTAGACAAGGAGCCTGGGCAAGCCAGGAGCGAGGTGAGGAGCGGTCACGAAGGGCAAGGGAAGCGGAGGGCGGAGGGAAGGGCCATTCATCGCCTGCCAGGAGCCCGGCACGGGGCACTGGGCACGGCGGGGCTGCTCCCCCGGGGCTCCCCTCAGGAGCGCTTCAGCCGGAACCCAACCACAGCGGCGGAGACCCCGCAAAGCCCCCCCGCACCTCCAGAGCCCGAAGCTGCGCTCTCTGCCCCCGCCCGGCGGCCCCCGTGGGCTGAAGGGACCGGACCCGCCCGAATGGGGACAGAAGTTGGGGAAAGCCCGAAGAAAGCGTTTGTCTGACCCTTTCCGAGCCCTCCCGCGGCGGAGGCGGCGCAGGCCGCCAGCACCAGGCAGAGGACGGAGGCTGCCGCGGGCTGAGCCTTCATGCTGTCGGCGCGGGCAGCGGCGGCACCCGGGTACGGCCCCGAACCTCCGGACAGGACAGGACCCGCTTAGCTGGACTTTTTTTTTTTTTTTTTTTGTCTTTTTTTTGCCCCGTGTTTTAAAGCCCAGGAAGTGATGTGTGGCGGATGTGGGCGGTACGCCGCCCTGACGGCTCGGCCCGGGGGAGCCGGGGGAGGCAGCCGGCGGGAACGGTGGTGGGGGATTGGGGATGAGGTCAGCTCCTTACAGGGAGCCGGGACCCCAGGGGCAGGAGTCATCGCACCGGAGCCCCAGAGCCCTGGTTACTCCCCCTGGGCAAACCCCAGCGTTATCCCGACGGGAGCAGGCGGTGGTGGGAGGGGCATGGTTCCGAGTTTATTCTCTCCTTCCGAAATAAACCCTTTTGTCGCGCTGCTCTCTCCTGAGTTTGCCCAGCTGGCGGGAAGGCGAACCCGACCGCAAGCGCATAGTGTGAGGGAAGGCTCACGAAGGGGGACAGAGCGAGTGGTGACACGTTTGGAAGCGCCGCGTCCCAGTTTGGGTCACAGGGCACCGCTCCCTGCCCCGAAGCGCGGGCGACTCCTGCTCCCTGGAGACTACAACTCCCAGGAACCCTTGCGCACCATACCCTCCACCTCTATGTAAATGAGGTGGGCGGGCCCGCCCATTTGCGGGCGGGCTGGCGCCGTCACGTGGCGCAGCGCTTCCTTTCTCTGTGCGCCTCTCTTTCCTTCCTCGGCCGCCATCTTGTTCTCGCCGCGTGTTGGTAGCGGGGGCTCCGCCGCGCTCAGGTGAGGGGGCCCGCTCTTCCCGTGTCCCGCTGTCTCCGTGTCCTGCTATCGCCGCGTCCCGGTATCGCCGCGGCCCTGCCGGCCTGAGGCGGGCGGGGCGCCGCGGCAGCTCGGTCCAATCCCCTTGGGCAGTGCTGGGCCGTTCCCCGAGGAGAGGCCGAGCGAGGAGCCCCTTGTGCGAGGGCTGCCCTGGCTCGCGGGGCCGCGGCTCTCCCGTGGGACCGCGGGTACACGGGCTCCTGAGGGATGAGCCGCGTTCCCCTCCCGCTCCCCCTGCTCTGGGGCTGCAGCCTGAGCCCGTTCTCCCGCCGCCCGCGGGGCGCCTCCGTGCGCCGGTCCCTGCCCCGCTCCCGCTCTTGCCCGGCCGTTCCCGGCACGAAGCACATGCGGAGATTTCCGGGGATCGTTGATGACTCGCTGGGGCAGAGCAGTGAAACGCATTCCTTTTGCTGGGAGGCTTGAGGCGTTTTTTCACCCATTATGGATTTTCAGGGCTTTCAGCCTTTAAAGGTCCCACCTGACCCGTGGGAGAAGCACTGGACAAACTTCCCAGTCACTGTATTGGATGTAAAGCTACCAGAAGTTCATGTAGTAAATATGTCCATACACGAATTTCACAGAGTTTGGATCTTGCTTATTAGTCATAAGTATCATAGATTCATTATATGAAAACTATCCCAGGTAGTTTAGTAGTGACCGTGTCCCTGGACCCTCGTAAAGATAAGGTGGCTTCTCAGACCCAGTTGTGTTGTATGTGCTGGTTTGGGTCTGGTTGGAGCCTGTAATTCAGTTAAATACTTCCAGCAGTAAACTGGCATTCTGGAAATGAGAACCTTGGCCTGATGCAGAATGAAATGTCCTGTGGAGTCTGTGCCTCATGGTGGCACAGACTCTTTAGCTAAATGTGGGTCCTTTCTACTGCAGGACTGCCGTGGATTGCTTAGGTGGG